GAGCTTTTTGTTGCATCACTTCACTAAGTGAACACCATGGACAAGATCTTTTCCATTCTATTTGTGGATTTACACTTATCTAACCGTTTCTGTCTCACACTGGCATAAGACAATCCATTTGCAATGTAATATTTTTTTTCTGTTATCAGATCTAAGTTTGGGAGAAGTGGATTTAAAAGAAAAGACACAGTGAAAAGAAAGCTTTCCTGGTTAGAATTTTGGTCAATGGAATATGAAGATTATAATTTACAGCAGGTGGCAGCCATGTAAAAAAAAAATATGGTGTCAATGAAAAATGAATAAAATAAAGACAATATTTTCACAAGCTTTCCCCTATGGCTTTAAAATAAGGTCACTTTGGTGGTTTTCACTGCAGGAAAGAGCTTGGCATCAGCCTCCTGCTCAACAGTTTGACAAACTGTGCTTGACCATATGTGTTAAATGAGACTCTCTCCTTTTTGTTACAGAATTTCCACACCCCCTTTTGAAACAATGACGTTTGAGACATCAACCTGCACATTTACTAGTTTGTAATTCTGCCCTTCCCAACCCTCAGCTCCCACAAATACACAAATCTTTTCATGTGCAGTCACATTCCACACAATTAAAGTATACATTCTTGAAAAATGACACCAGAAACTACATTTTACCCTATTGAAAAAAAAAAAAAAAACCAACACTGAATATGTTACTTACTGGTAACACTGGTAACATAGCTATGCATCTAATTTGAAGTCATTGTCAAAGTCTGTAATATATATCAAAAGCTCTCATTGTTATTTAAGGAAAAAAAATTAAAGGAAAATAATTATTTCTTATGCTTTTTTCTCCTCAAAAATAAGTACACCAGCAAACTTCACACAGAGAATTCTGCTCCTTTTTGTCTTAAAGGGAACCTATTTCTCAAGTGAATTGCTTTCCCTACCTTATTACTTGAAGAGATTACAGTCAGGGTTGTATATTGTAGCTACCCTATATTTAGAAGCTGGGTAATAAACCACATAAATAGCACACTGAATAAAACATTAAGACATAAAAGGAGTTAAATAGAACAAAGGGCTAAAGCTTATTGTGCAGTAACCATGTCTGACCCGTGGAAATACAAAGGACTCATAATTCTAGTTAGCAAAATGCAGAGTTGGGATTTAAATCAGGAGGAAGGCAGTGCTGGAGCCCCATCCACAGCCTTGCAGGGCCCTCTGGTGGAAACAGGAATCCATCTCACGGCTGCCCAACAGCACCGCCAGGAAAAATGATGCTCCAACCCCAAAATAAAGGGAGAACAAGCAGCATGGATTTTCCCTATTTTCTTGAAAGCAGCAATATTTCTAATATAAAGCTGCATTTTTCAGCTCTCCTTTAAGGAGATTAAATCCTGGGGCCTGTGTGAGTAAAGAAGTTTTCCTCTGACTCCAGTGGGAACAGAATCTGTCCATAAAGCCCTGGAAGTAGAGAAAATAAGTCCTTAAAGTTGTTGAAAACTGCAGTTAATGTGGAACATTCTGCCCAAAAATTTAGACCCTTTAGCAAAGCTGGAAGCATTGCAGGTGAGCATCATCACATAAAAGAGTCTCAAAAAAGCCAGGCTGCACCAGTAATTCATAGCAGAGACTGCTCAGCTGGCTGTGCCAGCTCAGGGTCTGCAGGGCCAGCCCTCACATGAGCTGACCTGACAAAATGTCTTTTCAATGCTTCTTCATTTGTGACTTTGAGCAGTGAGGTGGAAACAAACCCTTTCTGGTGCTAAATGTATGTTCTTTCATCCAGCACAGCATGGAATTGATCATTATATTGGTATTAGGTACTCAAGAGCCTGAAATACTGCCCATTAAAAAAAAAAAATATATTAAAATTGGTGCTTATACTTCCCTTAGTTATTGTCAGGGCAGAAAAACTCTTCAAAGGGCATTCACAGCAAGAAAGTCAGATTAATATTCTCATGTTTCTTCTCCACACAGATCTACAAGGAAGCTGCTAAAATAACCTGCACAAGCAGCATCTTCAATGATCTAATGGTGAGGAGAAGGAAAATTCCAACTCTGCCTTTTGCCTCTATCAGTCAGGGCAATTACTGTTCCAACGAAAAACAGGCTGCAGCCTCTAAGCTGGATTCAAGATCCAAACTGCTCCAAAGCAAGGCAGGATTGACCTCTCCTCTGACAGGTATTTCAGGGGATATTTGTGATTAATATTTCACAGAGCAAAAGAAAGAACCAGGCCTGTCTTACACTTCATTACAGGGGAGAGGCCTCCATTGTGAAAGGGAATTCTCAATGCCATTCTCTCCCACTTTTCAGGAACAGCATTGGCTGTTGGGTCCATAAGATCCAGTCTCTGTGCCTGCCTGAATAGGGCAGACAGCTGAGAAATGACATTTTTTTCAGGCACCATCTAGCATGACCTAGGTCAATAATTGTCTTTTCCCAGATTAGGCTCCTTTAAAACGGCAGTATTTTGAAAAGCAGAAGTTGCTTCCCACTTTTCATCTTAAATTCTCTTGTCTGCTCTTAGTTAATAAAGATTTTTAGCTGTGGTGAGTACACATTTATTTAAAGGTGGTGATGATGCCAAGTACATCACTTGAAGCACACTGATTGTCAGGAGCAGACACAACCTGCTCTTAAAAACCAGCTCCTCTGGACCTAAGGGACAAAGCTTTTGCTGAACCCAAGGCTTGGATTCAATCCTCTAATGTGCTTCAGGATGTTTTACTTTGAAAAATGGGAATGCTGCCTATTGACTGCAAAAATTTTATCTCCATTGCTACCCAAGAACATGTTAATTTGTATGAAATAAATGAGGCTAATTATTTGCTTTCCACAAAACAGGCTCTGCTAAAAGCCCTGAATTATTTGTTTTCCTGATGAACAAGGCAGCACCTTGCTCACATAATAGATTCCATCAGAGATTTGATTATCCATTAGAAGGTAAATCTATGTGTCGTGTAAGGCAGCAAAGATAAGATGAGGCTGGGAAACAGGCTCCTTGAGGACAGAGCTGGAGAATCAAAAATGGGATCACTGCTTCATCTACCACATGGAATCAAAGTGGGATGGGGGTCACTTTAGTGTACAAAAGAGGGAAAATCACATTTGGGGCAGAACAGAAAACCACAGTCTATAAAATGTACATAAAGGCTCCAGCTTCAAGGGTGTCCATTTAAAAAAAACATCTCCACAGTTGGACCAAGCTATTGATGAGAAGCAGAACTGTCTTTTAGCTCATCAGAGAAATCAGAGCACACAAAAAGGCTTAAAGTCAAGCAGGTTGACTGTGTTTGTGGTACCTCTTTGGTAGGGCGGAAAGAATTCCTGGTGACAATTTATGGTATGCTCTTAAGCATTCTGAAATTCTATGTAAAAACATGGTCATGATTTACAGAATACACTGTGCTCATCATACAACACAAGGTCACTGCTGCCTTACTACAGGTATTACCTTAGGTACTCAGGCAAAGTGCATCTTGAAAGGACAAAAATAACATTTCTTCTGACAAGACCACTCCTCAAATAATAAAAGCTGCAGAAGGCTCTTGTCCAGGTTTTTCTGTAAAATCAGCCCTGAAATGTTCTGCTATTAACTTGTGATTGTGCACAGACTCCCTTCCTCATGGAAGGGATACAACAAATTCCCAGAACAAAGCAGCAATAGGGGTCATCCTCCACCACTGCATTCACTGGGGCCACTCCTCAGGCTTTTGCCTCACAGTGCAGTTGTGGAGTTTGTGGAGTTACTCTCCATAAGCTTGGCTGTATTTTACAGCAAACATGAGTGCTGCACAGCCAGGGGAAGCAGAGCAGGTGATGGGGGAAGGCAAGGGGGAGGTTTTGTAGCTCTCAGAGACACAGCAGCTATGTGCAGGTCAGTCAGTCCTGCTTGCCAGGTCTGAAGATATTTTGGTGAGCACAGGAGGAGCCTTCAGCTCCTGCCTAGACAACCATTGGAAGCAGCCAGGAAAGAGATCAATAGTTTGTCTCTTCTGGAGGATGGAGCCTCTACCAAATGCATCCTCACTTCCCAGCCCTGACCTGAACCCACAAGAGTCTGGCTCAGAGCTAAGAACATTGCATATGGATTTGGGGAGTAACACCTGATTTAAGAACAGGGTCACATCACAGAGAGTAGCACTCACAGAAATCCCCAGGCCAGCATGAAGCTATGATGCTGAGAACAGACCCATTGTGGGGTTTGCAGCCAGATTTTGGCCTCTCCTAAAAAGCAGCACTGACAGGGGTATTTTGTCACCTTATCTCTCTCTCTAGTGGGATCAAAGGTGGCACAGTCTTAGCACAGCTATCCCATTCTATTTGGGACTTGCACAGATACCTTGGCATTAGCACTGGCACATCTTTTGCTGCTTTCAAGCTGATGCCTACATGATCCTACCAGAGATGTTGCTACAAAAATCCAGTCTGGAATTCAATCCAGCTTGTTCTGAGCTTTTTCTGGCATTTATAATATGATAACACATCATGGCTGGTAGGTATTTCCCTACTACAATTGTGCATCCTCTTAAATGTCAGTTAGGAAAAGGAGAATATCAGAGGCTGATCTCAGCACAGGTCAGAATTTGTGTCAGTCAGTGAAAGAAGTGGCTAACATGAGTCTGAGGGCTTCGATTTATTGCCCACCAGAGCAAATGATACTGCTGTAAAGTCAGTTGATAACAACAGGATTAAGAGGGTGAAGATAAAGATACATCTCAGCATGTTTTTGGATAAGGATAAAGCAATATGACACAAACAAATGCCAAAGTCCTAGCAGTCATCAAGTCACTCCAAAAACCCCCTGGCAAGCTTCAGTACACAAATAACTAGAGAAGCCATGAAAATTTACAATAACTCTTTTCCTTGTTGGTGGTGTATTTTTAACCTATTGCACTGATTATAACATGCTGTCAACAGCCTCATCAATTATCCATTGCTAGAAAGTGGGCTCTAACATGCTGCAAGTGGTATTAATTGGTCTCAGTAGCACATAATGAGTTTAAAAGCTCCTACCTGTGTGCCCCCGGGGATGGTGACTAGAGGCGGACAACAATTTACAGCAGACCATTAACACATAGACCAGAAAGAGCCAGTCAGACAGAAGCATTGATTTGGCACAGAATCTCATCCTGGAGGCAGAAAAGGAAGCAGTTGAGTGAAAGAACAATGCGAGCAGGGAATAACATAAAAACGATGTGGGGAAGGAAAAGCTGAAGAATAACTGATGTGGCTTATTGCAAGGCAAACACTCACAAAATCATATTTATTACTTGGTTGAGATCAATTCTTTGTTAAGGACATTTTATAATTAGAAGCAATGTCTAGCACACATCACATTGCCCACAAATACATGTTTATAATAACACATTATGAGTGTAATACAGTTCTATGAATCTAAGGGATGGGTTTTTTTTGTCTTTTATTAAGATCCACCCACATTCAAATTTAAACATACATATTTATGATTTCTACTATGCTTTTTGAACTGCATCTCCCCCAGTGATTGAAGAAAAATAGGCATTTTTACTTAACACTTCTCAGGACATATTTACTAAACTACCAACTCCCCTGTAGCCATGCACAGGACTTGGTTGGGTCTCCCAAACACACAATATTTGGGAGATTTCCTGGAGATCAGTTAATTTAGTGAAGGTAAAACACTCATGGAGCAGCATCTCAGTCAAACATGCAAGGACTCACTTCTCTGCCAGGGTGTTGGAAACTGTATTTCAGAAAACATTTGCTCTAAAGAAGGTGTTGTTATTCTTATTCATGTTATTCTTAGAACTAAGATCCCAAATCTTCCATAATTTTTCTGCAAATATCTACAATTAAATCCCTCAATAGCTTATGTTATGCTATTCATCATACAGAAAGGGAATCTAATCATCTTTTTAAACTGAGTTATGGTGATTTATTGCTTGCATGATACATAAATGGGCGTTATGTACTTGAACCCTTAGATACTGTGTTCCACAATTTCAGCAAATTCTGCAAGCAGGAATACATCAAATTAATTAAAGGCAATTTATAGATTTGCATAAATTGAACCAAATACTGTTTTCATGGCAGTGACGTTAGTCTGCAGTTAATCAGCACGGTGGGATTTGGGCAAGTTTATCACAACTTTATTTGCACCAAAATGTCCTTTGGGAACTGCTTTTCCCCTGCAGATTCCAGTTCTGAGTCTTGCAAGTATTTTCTAAAAAAGTTTATCTGTATATCTTAAAAAAAATTAAGACTATTCAGCTAATCCAACATTCAAGTGCTGAAGAGACAAATTTAAAAAAAGAAATCCCAAGCAACACAAGGGCTGCCACAACCAGGTGACACACTTGGATGCTGCTTAAATTTGATAATCTACCAATGAACCAAAACAGAGGCCATGTTTGCTCAGTTAAAATTGCTCACACAATTTCCCTTTTCACACTTTGCAGAACAGCATTTTTTCTCTAATTGCAAATGCTGATAAAGCCCAAACATATAAAAAATATACTTATTAATAACAAAAGTTAAGAGACCAGAAGCCTGCTGCATGTGAATATATTTTGGCAACAAATTCTGGTTTACACTGTAGAAAGAAATACAGTGGTGCAAACCCCAGCACTTTCAGCCTACAATTTTTTTTTAATTACATTAATATTGCAAAAAAAAAAAAAAAAAAAACAACTCCCATATTTCAGAGAATGAAAATTATATGTAAAGAAGCCACACTTTAAGCACTGATTTGGCAAGAGGGTACCTTTTCTGGCTTTAAGAAGATGCTCTGTTCTGACCCCAATATGTTTCCATGCTGAATACAGGAACAAACATCCTCATGGCCTTTTACAGCTGTGTATGGGAGACTTCCATGTGTGTGAACCAAGCCCAGAAGATAAAGACATCACTGCTCCTCACCCACCTGTAAGTCCCCTCTTCTGCAGCTCTCCCAGGCTAATTCAGAGCAGCTGAACCAAATTCACCTCTTGCATGCAGCTGAACCACATAATGTCACTGCAGCTAATGGGATTGAGTCACTGTGAAAGCAGCATAAATGTCACTATTGCTGTTGGCCCAGTATTATCCTAAGAAAACTATCTGGTAAGTTCTAAAATCAGTGTGTGCCATTTCAGATTTTGGTCATCCAAATCCTTCCTGGGTGACTGGTATTGTTTGTTTGTTTGGTTTTTTTTTTTTAGGAGTGAGCAGAATTTAACCTTTGTTTTCTTGGCCTGTCCATGAGAAACACACAGGTTACAGCTCATGAATAGAATGTCATCATCCACTCAGCTTCCAATCCCATCCTTCTGTTGCTCTAAATGCCAACACTCAGATCTGGTCCAAGTATCAGTGGATACCCCCAGCTCTGGTGTCACTCTGACATATCACCACAGAGACCTTCCTCCAGATTTCCTGTGGAATTAAAGACCCCAGCTCAGGCATTCTGAACATGCCATTTCTGGTGGAAGGGGCAGGTGTGATGATGGACAGGTCCCAAATTATGCATCATATGCTCATCAGCTGCTGCTTCAGCACTTTAGTGGATCCAGGTGTTCCCACCGTTCCCAGTGCAGTAGCAAAACTGGTCTCAGTGGAAATGGTCTTGTACTGGCCTCTTTTCAAAAGTTTTCCCCAGTTTGACTCTTTTGAGCCATTAAACAAGGAATGTGCAACCAGGGCTCAGCAGGTTAACAGGATAACCTCACCTCTGTGTAAGAACATTGAATTCCAGGAATAAGTGTATCACTACAAAGCATCCACTCCATCATATCCAAACTGAAAGGCTGCTAAAAGCATCCAGTACCATCCAAATGACACATCTGCAGACTTTAGTCTGCCTTGCAGGTAGACAGGACACAAGTTTTCAGCCTGCTAATGTAAAGAATTACAAGAGGATCTTTGAAAAGGCAGAGAAAAAAATGAAATTTGGCAGACAGATGCAGCAAGGGGTGCCGAGCCCTTCAGCGCCAGTGAGCTGCTGCTTTCAGAAATGTCAAGCCTTCATTCTCTATTGGATTCAAGTGGATATTGTTGCTAACCAGAACAGAGAATCTTCAGTGTCATTTGAAAGATAAAAAGTGTTCTTACCTTGGGGACTTTGCAAGAATTTTGTTCCAGTCAAACACAATTATTTCAGTGTGTTTTTCATAGTTATTCCAGATTCCCATTTGCAGCAGCAAATAAGCCTTTCTGCATCTCAGAATTTTCCTTCACTTCGGGGACCTAGAAAGAAAGCCACATTACACTGCAATTAACGTCTGCAAAGGTGCTGTAAAACACATCTTTGTTACCAAAATCTTAGTTTCACAGTGCCATCTACAGTGCAATCCGGGGCAAAAGGCAGCAGCTGCATTTCTCTTTTCTCTCTGAGAGCACAGAGGAGCTGTGGTGAGGCAGCTCTGAGGCATCCCTACATTAACCAAAGGCAGAGTTTGCAGCTCACTGGGGTCTCACCATCACCTCCCTCTGTCCACCAGCTGCTGGGAAAGCTGTGAGGCTGCAGCACAGTGCAAACACATTTCCACCTGGTTCCATGAAGCCTCCAACGGTTTGAAGCAGAGATTATTGAAGATAGTGAGAAAAATCTGTCACTGTCTTCATAAAGATTTGGCCAGGCCCTGGAGCCTGCCTCAGCAGAGGGTCAGATCCACAGCAGTGTGTCTGGGATTATGCATTATTGCATTATTGCATTATTGCATTATTGCTCCCTCTGACCCTGCTGCCTCTCCTCCCTTCCAGCATCAGCTCTCACACCCAGCCCCCTACACCTACACCCACCTGGTAAATTCTAAAATCAGTGTACCATTTCAGATTTTTGTCGTCCAAATCTTTCCCAGGTGACTGAACCTCTTATTTTTCTTTTTTTCTTTTTTTCTCTTTCTTTTTTTTTTTTTCAGGGGAGAGCTGAATTTAACCTTAGTTTTCTTGGTCTCTCTGTGAGAAACACACAGGTTACAGCTCGTGCTGTAACCCAGGAGTTACACTTTGAAATCTCCACATGGAAACACTTTTACAGCAGCTCTGACACATGCTCTGCAGAATAAGGAGCTCAAACACTCCATTTTATAGACACTCCGGCCTCTTTGCTTTTGCTGTTTATATTTGTTCTCTCACTTCCATCCCTGGGCACAACTTGACCTTCTGCTACTGAAAACATGGCACAGAGCAATTTGTGAGAGTAATAATAATGTGGTCTTCACCTAGACAGCAATCACAACAACTTTTTTTCATCTTACCCACCACTCTTTTCATTGCTCTCCTCCTTTGCTCAATCAGAAATTTGCTTTTAAGAAACACAAAATTACAGCACCACACTGGAGGGCAGAGCACGTCTGGGGTTATAAAAGCACAGAGGCAGACACTTTTCAGTAGCTCAGGAGAGGAAAACTCCTGGCTCAATACACTCACAGAATCCCAGAACCTTCCAATCACAAGCTGGAAGGGACCTTAAAGCCCATCTTGTTCCAAACCATGGGCAAGGACACCTTCCACTGGATGAGGCTGCTCAAAGCCCCATCCAACCTGGCCTTAACAGCTCCTTTTTGTTCAGAATGCCATGAGAAAATACAGTAATTGCTGGATTTAAGGAGGGGCCAGGCCAGCAATCTGTAATTAATCACATTTTACTCTCTTTGCTTTCCAAGGTGGAATTCCAGGGTGAGCCAAAATCAGCATTTCTATCAAATCAGCAGTGGCTATCAAAACAAAATGCAGGCAAAGAGTTGTCTTAAGAAAAAGCACTACCATCCTGCATTAATCCTTTCTTCCATAAATATACATAAAAATAAAAAATAAAAATAAAACAGCAGTGTGCCTCAAAAGACCTATTAAGAAGAAGCAAACAAACAGGATTTTCAATATAGCATTGACTGACTGAAATGGTTATGTGGTACATTTTTACCCATTTCATAATAGGACAGGTAGATAAATACATTCTTACAGCGCTCTTGTAGAAATCAATACTGCGATACACTAACTTGGGTTTTAGTGCTTATCTGTTCCATAATTTTTATTAGAGAGGAAAATAAAACCCTGTGCAGATGCGTCTGCAGGTAAATACAAATATCAGTGTAACCTGTTGTGTAAACACATGTTAAACACTGGTAAAAGGCAAAGGGAGTATTGATTAGTCCAACTCATTCTAATTAAGTAGATGCAGTGAAAGTGACAGACGATACGTCCACCTGCATATCTCCAGGCTTTCTGATGCCTTCCAGGCAGTGATATTTCTTTTAAAAATAGAGTTGTATTAGGGGAGATTAAGGCAAACTCCTGAAACCAGCTTCAGCTGGTTTATGTCAATAGAGGAGACAGATCAGAACAGAAGCAAGAGGCTCACCTGGTTAATAACTGTAAAAGGAATTCCAGGCTTTTCATAGCAAAAGCATGCTTTGTGTGTGTTTTGTGGGTTTAGCTGCTGGCCCCTGTCTTGTCTCAGGGTGACACGTTACTTTGGGAAACAGAGCTGCCTGTTTGTTTTTATACAAAGCTCTGGCCAGTGAGCAGCTGAACCCCAGCTCCATCTGCAGCAAGGATACAGAAAAGGGGGAATGGGAGAGGGGAAGGGCCCCATTTTCAGCATTTATGCATGGACTGGCCACGAGCAACTCCTGCTTTGCACAGAGTTCCCCAGAGGCTACAGCACTTCCCTGGCTCAGTATTTAGGGCAAATGAAGTTTGTGGGTTCTGGGATCTGGAGGGAGTTGCAATGGTCAGGTCTGCTGTGCCTTGGTCCCAGCACAATCCGTGTCTTTGTGGCTCTCTGTGCCCCTGCTCTTGAGTAAAATCGGTATAAACAGCATTTCCCTGTGCCAGGGAAGAGCTTCAAGAACAGAAACAATAAAAGTCTAAAGTTATTTGAAAACTGTGTAGGCACTGTATAATTCCATTGACAGATGGAATAAGATAACACTTTAAATTAGGTACATTTCCTACCAATATTTACATGTTGTAAAATGCTTTTTATGGCTACTTTCTGCAAAGAATAAATTACTAAACCATTTTGTGCCATCTTTTATAATAAGCTATTAAATAATTTAGAAAACCTCCTTTCATTAAATATTTAAAAGGCCTTAATTTCTCCATTCTGAATAATTCCTCACTTAAAATACAACTGTGCATCTCTTAAAGTCTCCTCTTCTGTAAAGCAAGGGGTGAGAAGGAAAGAAATTTGGGGGCCATGGGGATTTGTCAGCCTGACTTTAACCCCAATGTCAGCCTGGCCAAACTCTTATCTCGTACAGAATAAAGGACAAAGGGAAAACAGAGGTGACATTTCTTAGAAGAGGGGGGAAAGATCTGGTCACTGTGTGTATTTGAAAACTGCTGCTATTTGAGGAGAGCTAGAGACAAAGAGAGAGTTAAAGCAAACACCTACACACTGGCTGACCAACCCAGAACCCATTTTGGGGCTAAATCACTATACAAAGGGTAAGTATTCAGTGACAGTACTTGGAGGGGGCATATAAAAAAGAGGAAGAGCAAATTTTACACAAGCAGGTATTGTAAGGACAAGGAGGAACATTTTTTAATGAAAAGAGAGATTTATATTAGATGTTATATAAAAGTTTTTCCTGTGAGGTGGAGAGACCCTGGAAAGGCTGCCCAGGGAAGCTGTGGCTGCCCCATCCCTGGAAGTGTCCAAGGCCAGGTTGGATGGGACTTGGAGTAACCTGGGATAGTGGAAGGTGTCCCTGGCCATGACAGGGGGTGGAATGGGATGGGTTTTAAGGCCCCTTCCAACCCTGACCATCCCTCGTTGTGTGCTGATGCTGCCCCATGGCCGGGTGCAGTTCCAGGGCTGCAGGTGAGTGATGTCCCTGTTGGGGTGCAGGGGCCACAGGTGACTGTTCCTGTCAGGACACAGGTCACTGTCCCTGTCACGACACAGGTGGCTGATGGCCCTGTAGGGGTGCAGGTGATGTCCCTGTCACGATACAGGTAGTGATGTCCTTGTCGAGATGCAGGTCACTGATGTCTTGCATCTTGACAGGGGTTGGTGATGAACTGCATCTTGTTGGGGTGCAGGACACTGTCTCTGTCGGGACACAGGTCACTGTCCCTGTCATGATACAGGTGGAGATGATCTGTTGGATCACAGGTCGC